GTGAGTTCGGTTGGCGGGGAAGCGGCGCCAGGGCCGTGTGTGGGGAGCGCTCTCTCGCTTTCTCTCTCTGTGCCTGTCTCTCTGTTTCTCTCTCTATCTTTCTATCTATATCTATCTATCTATATCTATCTATCTATCTATCTATTATCTATTCTATCTAATATACTATCTATTTCTATCTATCTTTATCTCTATCTCTCTCTCTCTCTCTCTCTCTCTCTCTCTCTCTCTCTCTCTCTCTCTCTCTCTCTCTCTCTCTATCAATCTATCCATCTATCTCTTTCCTTCTTTCGGAGTCTTTGTTCCAATGCGTATTTTTCTTGCATAAAATAACATAGAATGTATTATTGCTGCTGTTTGTTTTATCATTATTACTTATTTCGAGACTATGTGTGCAACCATGAGTATACCGGAGTAGACGGTATCATAGTGTTTGTGTGTATGGTGATGTAAGACAGAGAGAGATAAATATAGATAAACCGATCGATATATAGATAGATAGTTACATAGATAGGTATATATAGGGCGCGCGGTGCGCGGCGCGTGTGTGTGTGTGTGTTCGTGTGTGTGTGTGTGTGTGTGTGTGTGTGAGTGTGAGAGAGAGAGAGAGAGAGAGAGAGAGAGAGAGAGAGAGAGAGAGAGAGAAGAGAGAGAGAGAGAGAGATGAGAGAGAGAGAGAGAGAGAGAGAGAGAGCATTTCTCTATCTGCTTATCTATCCATGCTATGAACAAATAAATACAAAGGTAAGGAAATCGATAAATAGACAAAAAAAATGTATCGAAGAAAAAAAAGGATAATGAGTTATAAAAACAATCAAGCTTAAATGTCAATAAGAAAATGTTAATAGGAAAAAAGAAATACGGTGACAAAATATGATGTGAGAAGCCGGTTAATAAAAAGGATAAAGAAAAAAAAAGAAAAAAAAAAACAGACAATGACGAAGGCAAAAAGAAGGATGAAAGGGAGATGAGAGGAAATTTATATTGAGAAGAACATTATGGGATAGATAGAGAGATAGATGGCGAGATAGATAGATTGCAACAAAGAAAGAAAGCTAGACAGCTAGATAGGTAGATAGAAAACTATAGAAAGACAAAAAGAAAATAAAGATAGATAGATAGGTAAGTAGGTAGTTAGATAGATAGATAGACAGACAGATAGGTGGACACACAAAAGAATGAAACAGAAATTCCAAAAAATAAGGAGAAAGATGAATAACAAAATGTCCTAAATGTGAACAGTAAAGGTGGAAATAGAAGGAAAAAAAGAATAGTGGAATAAACCGAAAGAACGCCAAGAAATAAAGATTCAGATCGTAGCGCCAGGTGGAAATTAGAGGGATGGAAAAAAGGTTAGCGTGAGGAAAAAAAAGATGAAAGAGAGAGAGCAAGAAAGAACGAAGAAAAAAGAAGCTCCGGGAATAACAAAAGAATTTATAAACAGCCAGATAAATATGTAAATAAGAGGAAAAAGTGAAAACGGGAAGAGGAAAGGGGGAAAAGGAAACAAGGAAGGAGAAAAAACGAAAAGAAAGGCGAAACATTAAAAATGGCATAGAGAAAAAAAAATAGATTAAATATGTATGAAGGAAATTAAATGAAAGCAAAGGAATACAAGGGAGAAAAAAAGTGAATCGTTAAGATAGTAGAGAGAGAGATAGCTAGAAGAGAGCGTCATTAAGAAAGAGATAAAGACGAAAAGAAAACTGTACAAGCAAGCAAAAATGAGAAAGACGAGGAGGGAAAAAAGGGAGAAGAGAAAGAGAGAGAGGGGGGGGATAGATAGATAGAGAGAGAGGGAGAGAGAAAGAGAGAGACAGACAGAGAGAGAAAGAGAGAGAGCGAGAGAGAAAGTGAGGGGGGGGCAGAAGAGACGGATAGATAGATAGAGAAACCCACAGAAAGAGAGATAGAGAGAGAGCAGGGGGGGGGGGGAGAGAAAGAAAGTAAGCGAGAGAGAGAGAGAGAATGAAAACAAGAAATATATAAAGCGAAACAGAGAAAGCAAGAGAGATAGAAAGAAAGAAAGCGAGAGAGAAAGAGAGCGAGACAGAGGGGGGAGATGCCGGGCGAGAAGTCCTAGTGCCACCCCCGCGGCGAGGCTCTGGCACCGGAGGGCGACCAGCTGGCGTCGCGGCAAACGATCTCGGCGCGAGAGGATCGGCGAGGATCGAGGGAGGAGCGCAGAGGAAACAAATGCCGGAGGGCCTCTGTGACGCCGAACCAGGCTGGAAGCAGAAAAGCCCCGAATGGCAGCGATACAGGTCGCGCGTCCGGCCCGGGATCGATGGAGTTTGCAGCAAGAGAGAGAGGGAACGAAGAAATGATAGATGTAATAGATGTGTGTGAGTGTGGGTGTGTTTCTACACACACACACACACATACACACACGCACACACACACACACACACACACACACACACACACACACACACACATCACACCACTACACACATCACACACACACACACACATACACACACACACACAACACACACAGCACACACACACAACACAACACACACACACACACCACACACACACACATATATATATAGTATATATATATATATATATATATATATATATATATAAATATATATATATATATATATATTTATTACACATACATACACACAACACACATACATACATACACACACATACATACATATCATACACATCCACACACCACACACACACACTCACATCACACACCACACATACACACACACACACACACACACACCACACACACACACACCACACACAGATACAACACACACACAACACACACCCACACCACACACACACACACACCACACACACACACACCACACACACACACACACATATTATATATATTATACATATATATAATATATATAGTATATATATAGTATTACCTATCTATTATTTATTATACCTATGATATCATGTGTGTGATGTGTGTGTGTGGTGTGTGTGTGTGATGTCTGTATGTGTGTGTGTGGTGTGTGTTGATCATATCTACCGATTATCATGAGTCTGTGTCGATGTGTGATGTATAGGCCAACTGTAGTTGGTGTGTGTGTATGGTGTGTGGTGTGCATGTGAAAAAACTTGTACAAGTGCACTGGATTGATGGAGTCGACTGGACATCGAGTTTCCTGCTGTGGCACATGTAGTGTACTTATATATAATATATAACTATATACTATAATATAGCCTGATATATACTATATACACTATATAATATATATATTTATACATATATGTATACTTTATATTATAATATATATATATATATGCTATTATACTATATATATATATTATATATACATATATAATAGTAGATAGTATATATATAGTATTATACTATAGTATTATATTATATATAATTATATATATATTAGTGTATAGCAAGCACACACCAACACACACACACACATATACATTATATCTAAGATAACTTAGTATGTAGATATATATACTCATATATATTATATATTATATATAAATATATTAAATCACTATATATGTGATATATGTATATATATATCAATAAATATTATATAATATATATATATAATTTACATATATATAAATATTGTACATATAACAAATTATCACATATATATGTACTCCCTGAGTCTGTGTTATGAAATAACTTATCCGATCGGATCTCTAACACTCGTTTTGCAGCAGGCGTAACTGTGTGTGTGTGTGGAACAGCTGGTGTGTGTGTGTGTGTGCTGTGTGTTGTGGTGTGTGTGTGTGGTGTGGTGTGTGTGTTGTGTGATGTGTGGTGTCGTGTGCTGTTGTGTGGCTGTATAATTATATAGTATATTATATATATTAAATTATATATGTTATAACAAATAGGTATATATATAGTATACTATATAAGTACGTATATTATATATACTATACATACGTAAGTATATATATATCTTATATATATATATATACTATTATATCTTACTATATATAGGTAATACTATATATAGATATACACTATGATAGTGTGTGTCTGCGTGTATATATTATACAGTATATAGTGCATATGTATTATATTTATACTAATCATATATATACTATATATATATATATATAAATCCAGTATATAATATATATAATATAATTATAACTATATATATTATGATATATAATATATACATATTAATATATATATTATGTAATTATATATATGATATATAAGTATAACATATAGTTGTTTATAATATAGTATATATTATATATATATAATTAGTAGTATTACTATTATTATATATAGTATATGCGATATATATATACTATATATTTATTATATAATTATATAGTATATTAATAACTTCATATATTAATATATACTTATATAGGTTGTATGCTATATATGTATAAATGTATATAATACAGTATATATTTGTGTGTGTGCTATATGCGTGTGTGTCGTGTATGGTTGTTTGCTGTATGAGTGTCTTGTGTGTGCTAGTCGTGATGGGTCGTTGTGTGTTTGTGTATTGTGTGTGTGCTAGGATCTTAATGACGTGTAGTCAGTATGAGCATTAATGTGTGCTGTGTGTGTGTGTGTGTGTGTGTTGTGTTGTGTGTGTGTGTGTGTGTGTTTATGTGTGTGTGTTTATGTGTGTGTGTATGTGTGTGTGCGTGTTTTATGTGTGTGTGTGTGTGTGTGTGTGTGTCATTGGCGTGAGTGTGTGTGTGTGTGTGTTTGTGTGCGGACGTGTGTGGTGTTGTGTGTGATGTGTGTGTTGTGTGTGTGTGTGTGTGTGTGTGTGTGTGTGTGTATGTGTGTGGTATGTGTGTGTTGTGTTTCTGTGTGTATTTGTGTGTGCTCGTGGAGTATGTGTGTGTGTGCGTGAGTGGCGTGTGGTTTGCGTGTGTGTTTGTATGTGTATATGTGTGGTGCGTATGTGTGTGTGTGTGTGTGCGTGTGTGGTGTGTGCGTGTGCTGTGTGTCTGAGTGTGTGCGTGTGTGTGCTGTGATGTGTGTACGGTGT